TTTAATTTTCAAATTAAACATTTGAGAATAATTTTTATTTTTACCTATTTTACCCTTTCAAAAAAAAAAATAAAGAATCTCTTTCATGATAATCAAAATTAAATCATAAGATTAAAGTGGGAAAAAAATATTTGTCTCACTTAAAATACAAAAAACCGACTATTATTTTGACATAAATTTTAAATAAAAAAACGTCTATTATTCTAAGATGGAGAGAATATTTATATAAAAGTTTATTAAAATGATGTAGTTTTCTAATATTTTTTATCCTTATTTTTTAGAGGTTTGACCAATAAACACTTAGTGTTTTGCAAGACTTCATTCCTAGAGGACATCTTCAAATGTATTATTGTTTACACCATAAATTGAAAATTTATTTGGTGCCACATGTCATATTATTTGAATGAGTGGCTATGATGAAGCCACCTCAGACTTGATTTGCTATGATATGGAGTATGATGAAGCCACCTTGCTGATAGTGCCATGTGTTCAACCAGATTTGGTTTTTCTTATAGTTATCTCTTATTTATTTGGTGGTATCTAACATTAGTGTAGACATGGCTAAATTTTAAGAGAAATTACAGACCAAGTTCAGCTAGTGGGTAAGGTGATAGACAAATGGCAAGATCTAGAAAGGATTTTGATCAAGTCTACTACTAAGTTATTCAACTAATGAAGTCTGCTATGTTCTGCACATGTGGAAGTAGATGGTTACCATCTTCCTTGAGACATATAAAAGAGAAAATTCAAAAGAGACAATGCACGGCCAACCTTACACACAACTCAACAAATTTAGTTTTCTAGTTTCCTTAGCTACCGTTCACACAGCTCTCAAATATAAGTTTTAGCACAACTTTCAATTAAATTTAGGTTATTTCTAGTTTCAACAGCAATTTGTTTGTTTATTTAGTGATTTTGAGATAAGTGTCATTTCTTCAAATATCAACTTATATAGCTTTCATTCTTATTTTTCATGTTCATGTTAATATCAATCTTAATTGTCTAAATATCATGATTAATTAGCTTTATTCTAGTCTCAAACCCATTTAATTTTCCAATTTTGTAACAATTCAATTTAATTTGTCAATAGTTCATTAGTCAAGTCTGTTGTTACATTTAGATGAAGATTTGTTCATTTCACTCGTTTCATTTATTGTGGATCTTTAAGTTTGTAGTTAACGGTAGACATTAGAACTGTGTAAAACATATTAGTAACCCATTTTGTAGAAAGGTATCCCTCTCTCCTATAAATCATCTAAAAACGCAAAACTCAACTTTAAACCAACATTCTTTTAGCCATATTAATGAAAGTCAACCGTGTGGAAAGAGAAGGTCATTAAAAAAATCCTACTTTTTTTTTTTTATCAGCAAAACAAAAATTATCACAAGGGGTACTCCTGCCCTTCTACAACAAGTTTACATTCTTTCCTCCCAGCAGCATAAAATCATAACAGAAATCCTAATACATAGCAGAATGACACCCCATAGTACAAAAGACCAACAACCATCACAATTACCCATTTAAGAAATACATGCATCCGAGCAAGCTATGTGGAAGGATGACGCTGCTGGTGCTTGTTATACTCTTTGAGGCTTCTCTTGTAGCGTTTCAGTTCCATTGCACATTCTCTAGGATTACTACTTTTTTACTTTACAACAAAACAACTGCATGCTCTACATCTAGATTTGCTATGTGTGGTGTCACTTTAGGATTTTTGAGGAAACAATTATGCTTTAATAAACATATTTAAAAACCAACTATTGAATTATAAGTTCTAACAATGTAGATTATGCATGTTGATTTTTATATTGATCTAATTAGCCTAACTAATTCATTGATTATACAAAATTTAATATTATTAAATATATTTTAGTAAAGACAATTTCTTTAATAAAAAGTTATAAATATTAAATTAATTTAAAAAATTAACATGTATAATTTACATGAATAAAAAATTACTGAATTTTAGAAAAATTAAAAAAAAATAGTGTA